TTATATGTATGTGTGTGTGTAACATACATGAACAAAAACGGATCTATCTATCTATCTATCTATTTATCTACATATGTATGTGTGCGAGTCTAACATGGGGAGATCGCAAGGTTTAATGTAATCGATTACGAATGCGACTGCTTTGTAAACTTCAGAATGCGCCTGCGACCGTGACTGCACGCATGCTCCCTGCTTTGCAATTAGGATCAGTACTCAACTGGGTCTTGCTCCCACGTAGGGAAAAATAACATATAATTCAAGGGCGCTTCTCAACAGTAATTTGGTAACCTACGCTAACTCAGCAAATAAAACACTTTGCCGCATTTAAAGACGCAAAGGCTTTCAAAGGTTGATACAGCCAACTTTAGAAATTGGACGTAGAAAAATAAGGTATTTGGCATCTTTTCTTCCGTTACGGTGGTTGCTTGGGAACTTTAAATAGCGTGTAATATTTTTGCGGCGTTATTGTCGAAATGAGGGAAATCGATCGGAATTATGATTATTTTTAAAAATGCACAGGGATCGATTACAATTACTTAACAAATGTAGTAGTGGGAGTTAAAAGTGAGAAAGGGGAAATAACAGAGACGAGAAAAGAAGAGAGGAGAGGAGAAAAGGGAGAGGGGAGGGAGGGAGGATAGGGGGAGTGAAAGAGAAAAAGATTACATACCTATGGGCAGATAAATCGCGTTTTTTTTTATCAACGTACGGGTACAAGTTACCACAGGAATGAAATCTGTTCTGATCGAAAACTAGTACCATTATACAAAACGTTTCATATTCCTATTGAAACCTACATAATCGCACTTCCAGAGTATAAAGTGCATGCACGTCCTACGGAAGTCTGCTGTCTTCCTGCACTTCTCAAAACACATCTTTTGCAACAGCGCCGCCCACCCCCACCCGAGGGGGAGGCGGGCGGCGTCCGGCCAAGGGAATGGAGGAGAGATGACTTACCCCTGAGTATCCTGAACCGTTCATGCCAGGCATGCCGTAGCCCATGGAATCCTCTGCGGGCGGCGGGGACATCATGGGGCCCGGTGTTCCGCTCATGCTGTACGGCGACGCTCCTGCTGAAGGATAGTCTAGAATGATCAAACAGTACATCAGCTGTCATGGCCGCTCTACTTTAAGATTCACCTTAACTCGTAGGAGCAAGATGAGGGTCAAATAAGCCTACATTCAGCTCCTCATGCGCACGTTCATTCAGACCACAGCACGCGAGACACGACATCGGACTAGCCCCCAGATTTGTCGGCAGGAAAGGGCCAGTGTTATCCGCAAGTGTGAGGTTTAGCGCTCGGGGGCGGAGGGAAGTTGCCACGCGAGGCGACGCTCGCGCGGCCGCGTCTGGCCGTCGGCAGCATCTCCGAAAAGCCGTATAAATTAGGGACGAGGCTGCGGCGAGGCAAGCGTTACTTTATCCATGAATATGGAATGCGGTGTAAGTCAGCGGAGGCAGGGTGTGGTGGGTGGTGCGTGCAGCACGGGGTTGTGGTCGCATGGGCGGGACGCTCTGTCATAAAATTAATAAGTGCACGTCGAACAAGAGCGTTGCAACAGCGCACTCTACACGCAACACCCACTCTTCTCATCACCGCCTCAATCTTCCTCTTGTAAGAATATTACTACACTACTTAGCGCTCGTAATGGGTTGCCGCACAACACATGCCTACGCCATTCATTTTACCGCTCCTTTCAGGTTATTACAAAACACTGTTATTTTCTATTCCACTTAGAGTGATACATTCGGGTGCCATAAACATCAACCTCTCCCATACATTTTTTACGGCGGCCGTCCATATTTGATACAAAGTATCCCTAACGCGCTCTTAACACTTTAACAGCTCTATCAACTTTTTATGTCGGTTAAGTGTCATAAATAACCAACGATTTAAAATTCATTGAATTGATTTCTTTCATAATTGAAAGGTAAGAGGCAATGAAGTGCAGGTGGGTGCAACCTCCCCTCCCCCCATCCTTGTCACTGTCACCAGGACCCAACTTCCGCCCAACAACACCGTCAGTAATTATGCTGTTGGCGATTATGTCATGCGGTTTCGTTGCAGTCGAGATGCCTTGTAACGACCTTTGCAAAAAGGAAGACTGAACATGCTTGTTTTACACTCGTTATACGCAGCTTATTCACTGTAGACTGACTTCGGACTTATCAAGCGAACAAACATTGTATTTCCGCAGCGGAGAATCCAGCAGCCGGTCATGATTTCCCGGATAAGGCAAAGGGGAGAGCTATCGTGCGGGGGTCGCTTCTCTCCGCAAGAGAAAGCACAGCATTTATTAAAATATTTATTCTTAATACAAGCGCCTTCGTCTTCGCCTTCATCAGCATCAACATCATAGGCGTCGTTACCATTATCTGCTAATAAAGGGTCATTCAGGTTTCTCCAGCGGCGACCTACCTCGCGCAGCACCCCAGCAGGGAACGGCCGCCTTGCCTCACGCCCTTCTCGGCAGGCCCTCTGCCCTCTGTCGCTTCCCTCTCCCTGATCGCTCTCTCTCCTGACGCCTCTCCTCGCTAGTATATTAACTTTCCTCTCATTTTCACTGTGTCTTTCATGCGCGACCTTGCAAACCTTGCTTCCCCACAAGGATTTGCATTTTCAAATATTTTCCAGCGTATTTTGCTAAAAAGACTTCATGTTTCTACGATTTTGTAAGTTTCTCTCTTTTTCATTCTCTTTTACGGGTATCTTTCGCACCATTCCCACTCATGCTCTCCCAATCTTCCTTTTCTCTTTCCCACTCTCTCTCTCTCT